CCCTCCCCCCCCCCCCCGCCATATTCTCCCGAACATAGTTCCTGTGACTTTTTTCTATTTCCTAGACTTTAAAAAATGATATCTGGACGCCGATATACTTCGCGCAGTGCTGTTGGTAGTGCTGTTTACCAGTGCTTAGACATTATTCCAAGGGAAGACTACCTAGAGGCTTTCAAAATCATTGGTATGCAGATTGCAAAAGTGTGTGAATGTAAAAAGGGTTACTTTGAAGGTATAATCTATTTTACATATTGAAACAAATTGTTCTTTTTATTTTATTGATATACTTGCAGAATCTTCTGATCGTCCCTCGTAAATAACTCAAAGGATTTATTGAAAGTATATCAATGTCATACAAGTTATGTAAATACATATGTTTGGGTAGGAATTATAAAGAGCTCGGCTTAGGGATCTTCTACCTGTCTTCTCCTCGTTCTCGATGAGGATAAATTAATGCATCAGTTTTTGGAAAGAAATGTAATAAAAATAATTATGCCTGTTGCTATAACCTAACTCCATATTTTTTGTTTTATACATATTTTTTTTTAAAAAGTGCATTAAGTGTCTCCATGATAAAGAATGTTGATGTACACTTTGAAAAAAAAAAAATCATAGTGCGTTCATTTTGTCCTAGAATTCTCACGGCGATGTCCTAATTGTATCTCACTTCCATTCTCACTGACCTTGTAGTGTAGGACAGCGCCGCGAGAATTCCATCGGCATCGAAATCAAGTTTTTTAACGTGCCTAGATGACCGAGCGGTCCAGCGCGCTGTACTTCTACTGCTAGGTGACATTCTGTAGGTCGAGGGTTCAACCTAGGGTTGAGGCGGAAGTGGGTATCCGTGTAGGACAGCGCCAAAAATTATATATATATATATATATATATATATATATATATATATATATATATATATATATATATATATATATATATATATATATATATATATATATATATATATATATATATATATATATATACACATGTATATATATACATGTATATATATATTACATGTAAAAGTAATGTAAGAGTAACGTCAGAGTAATGTTATTATTTTCAGTATCATGAAATTTAATAATAATAATAATAATAATAATAATAAACTATGCCAAACTGTTGTAAGACGATTTTATGATAATATGAATCATTTTAGTTGGACATTTAATTTTATTTTAAAGCTGAACACGCTTCGTAAAAGGACTTTGTCCGCCATGTTCGATTATTAACTCGCTATATTTCAGGGCCCCTATATAAAGCCTTTCACTTAGTCACTCTTCAGTGTAATCAATTGTCACCAGTGTAGACGGAAGCATACTAAACAGCACACTGTTGCGACACAAAAAAAATAACTGTGTATTACTTCTAATGCAGGACAGTAAGATGCCCCCCAAAAAACTTAAAACAGTTGCACTGGTCAGTGCAGTGTACAAACAAACACAAATACACCTTACTGCAATAAAATGTATACAGAGGTAATGTATTATAACCAGCACAAACACGTGTCGCCATTCGACGCCGATACCCGTGACAATTGCAATAAAGCAGTCAGGTGTAACGAATTCGAAAAGTTTATCGTGGTGCTGATATTTCAGATAGAATAATCGAATATGGCGTATGCCTACGAGTCGTGTTTAGATTTAATCGTGATATCTCATATATGGAAACATTTTACTAAACTGTTCTTTGATATGCATCAAACTGCAAAACTGTAGTTCTCCGGGAAAATGTCTTTGATGGGCTAGAGAGTTATACATGAAACAAATACTTAAAGTGACAATGAAGTGTTATATTCCGATGTTCAGTTAAATACTTATTCAATTTAAGATTACAAATGATTGATAAATCAAACAAAAATCAAATATACATAACGAATACTTTATCCGATTCCATTTGTTGTATGAACCTTTTTTGTAATTGTATTTCTTTCGAACAATGTATAAAATAAAAGTTCTAAACATCTTGACATTTGTCAAACTCACACAAATAATGTGCATTCAGCATTTTACTACACTCTTGAATCTTAAGGTGCGTGGCAGTCAGAAAGAAACAATCACCATGATTTGGGTTGTTGTTTGTTTGAATCAAATCTTCAAGTTGCGTTCTACTTGGAATATTCAAGTGTCTTTCATTCCATTTCAGAACTTGACCAACTGGTATATGTTTTATACCAATCCACACAATGAAATTGTCCCCTGTACATAAAAATAGAAATATGATCCATTTCAATGTATGATAAATTCATAAAAAAATACAATACCGTATGAAGTATTTTCAAACAATTATACATTAATCCAATTATAGTTTAAAAAATTAGAAACGCACATTTGTTGTTTTTTCATAAGGGAGATAAATAATCTATCTCAACTATTACAGCTGCAAACAAATTATAATAATAAAGGTTACATCTTCATCCCTTTCTGTCCGTATCAATTCGTAAAGCTGAGTTTCTTCTGGCGAGATATTTCAAAATGTCATATATTGGTACAGATTGCAGTAAGATTTAAAAGAGGATTGTACTTTCCAAAGAGAATGATCTAAATTGGATCCGACTCATTTAAGGGTAATTTTTTTTTATTTTTCATCCAATTCGGTAGTTATGGGGAGGGTAATGCTAATTTGCGTTGAAAATTTTGCATGGCTTCTCCCTTAAGTAAAATAATAAAAAATGATCACGTGATGGTGAGCAGCCACGCTGATGGGCTGAAAAGGCCAACTGTAGTTAGCCTGGCTCATGCAAGTCATTTAACCATCCACTTAAACGTTTTATTTATTAGACGTGCATGAAAAATAATGCTTAAGGCCTAACATGCAAATCAATTAATATTGAAACAGCTTTCAATAATAAATTTACATTTCTTTTTTGTGGGGGAGCTAGGTACATACATGTATTATTAGTTACATAGTTTTTTAGTGACAGGGTACGGAATGATACCTGGTTAGTAAATTTTATACCTGGCGAAGCGAAGCCGAGCCAGGTATGGAATTTACTAACCAGGTATCATCCCGTACCCTGTCACTAATAAACTATGTAACGAATTTACCCCACCGATAAAATATTTATGCATTGTCTGTGGTTTGTAAAATTGTTTTTCTCACTATATATATGTTTCATCACTCATACAATGCCTATTATGACGTCACGTTGTGACGTTATGTTGTTTAGCGAGTGTTTCGTGCTATAGACTAATAACGTACTGACAGTTTTGAAGACTTTCAGTAAAGGGAGAAAAAGGTTCCATCTTCGTTACTTACATTAGTTAACTGTAACATTGTCAACAGACACTCGGCAAATCGCGTGAACTCGAGTTGTTCGAACGTTACAAAACAACGATAACTCCCTATCGACCATGTATTGATTTTCAAGCGACTAGGTATAAGTAATACACTCCCTTCACGTGACAGACTTCAACCAATCGTAAGCCAGGTTTTCATCGAAAAATCAACAGAGGTGGGGTATATATATATATATATATATATATATATATATATATATATATATATATATATATATATATATATATATATACTGAAAGGAAAAAGAAACGCAGGGTAACATAATATGCGAAAATTTTTGACTGTATAACCGAAAATTATGAATTTTTTTTCAGAGAGATATCTTGGTTACTGTGCATTAAAATCAGTGTTAAGACCTACTCAACCGTGAAATGTATTACGTCACATAAGGAAAGTGGTAAAAAGCCGAAAACACGTGCAAATCGATGACGACATGTTTTTCAACACATTTGGGCACGCATAAGGAAAGTGGTGAAAAGCCAAAAACAAGTGCATATCGATGACGTTTTGTTTTTCAAAACATCTCGTAGTACCATTTGCTGCACTTAAGTTATACACATCATTTTCGATATTTACAGTCGATTTGCATTTCTTGAAATCAAGGTACGGTTGACGGAAGTACCATGGGGTCTGGCTATTGCATTGCCTAACTAAGGACAAAGACAATGACAGGTTTCTGTGAAGTTTGTTGTGAATTTTTCCACGATAAACGTCTTACCCATCCTCAGAGAGGGCGTAGAAAGGTTTCCAACCAACCGTGACGACGACGTTGACGCGTAACAGCACCACGACAAGATCGGGCTATTTATCCTGCCACCTGTATAATCACCATCACATTACCCTAAAACTGCTATTAATACAGCAAGCTATCATAATCGTTACATTCACCCAAAACTGAAGGAAATCGATAGCGCGATTTTGGTTTGTGAGCTCGTCAACTTTACGTAAGTGTTCCTCTAACTCGCGCATGCGTGCGTCGTTTGCCTATTTTTTTTTTTGGGGGGGGGCATGTTTACCTCCCTCCCAATGCTGCAAGGGTTTGTCAAGATATTCTCGAAAACAATCACTTTTATCCACTTGACTGGTCTCCGTCATGTCCATCTTTTTCGCATCAAACGTCTGTGGACGATAGGGTTTAAAATGTCCAAGCTGGTCTCAATCAACTAAGGGCTGCCTTCTCGGAAGGGTTTAATAAAATCCCTATTAAAAGGATAAAAACACTGATGAACTCTATGCATAGGAGAATCAAGGCTGTGACAGATGCGCGAGGAACACATGTGAGATAATGAGAATTTCATTTTTCACTTTTGGGGGGTACCGTTATATGAGTTACAATGACTCAAGAATTATTGGGGAAAATCAAATGAGATTTTGGTTACATTTTTATTAAAGATGATTTTAAATGTTGGTTAAAATAACTGGAAAATACGTCTAAAATATATAACATTATAACATTATTTCACCTAAAAAGTTTAAAGTTTATCCTGCGTTTCTTTTTCCTTTCAGTATATATATATATATATATATATATATATATATATATATATATATATATATATATATATATATATATATATATATATATATATATATATATATATATATATATATACTACGATTATAACTCATGTATACAGGTACATGTATGTATAATATTAATGAGGGTATAATGTAACATTTGTAACTTTTTTCCAATGCAGGAAGAAATGCAAACACAGCACACAAAAAAGAACATCCTAATGTGGCATATCGATTAAACTTTCACAAAAAAGAACATCCTAATGTGGCATGTCGATTAAACTTTCAAAACTGCACTGATTTCAATTATCATATTGATGAGCGTTTTCAAGAGAATGTTCCTCTCACACTGGACGAAGAAGAGAAATTGAATGTACAAAAATTTTGAAGTAAAAGAAAAAGTTTCATATACTGTTGGAAGCCTGCTGACTACGAAACTAATGTTGCGAAGTAACGATGTTATTACAAGGGAAGAATCCATAAAGGGTGTGTGTGATGTAGTAAACAAAACATCAAAGGATATACTTCATTGTAATAAACTTGCTTTTCAGAAAACCTCTGAGGAAGATCTACTTCAATTTGACATCCGTCAATTAGCACTTTTACTTCAAAAATCTTCTCCCCTTGTGTAGAATGTACTTAACACTATAACTTTCAGCGATGGAAAAGTGTATGACACAATAAAAGTTGTAATAGCAGCATTTGTGTTATAACTCCACATCAAAGTATCTTAATAAACTAAAGCATCTGGTGGCATATCCATGTACAATAGCCGATTGCAGAAAGAAGGTTTTGATATTATATGCAAACTTGGATTATCAGTCAGCCATTTCAGTGTTCATAGAACATTAACCAAAGCCCAGTCCACATACAGAACAATGATGCAGCTAATAAAAACTCTGTTGACAACAGCAAAAAAATTCAACAGTTTGTTTAGAATGAAGACAGACATTTGCAGTTGATGGATCACGACTATTTACCGAGCAGTATATACATCTGAGAGGTACATTCAACATGACCTGAAGAAGTGTCTTATGAAAATAGAACCATTTGTGTCACTTTCTGAATTCATGATCTAACCTTCTTGATAGTAACATCAAGAATCATAGAAAACATAGAAAAATCATAGAAAACATCAGATAATACATAAACTAATTTGGGCAGTGTTGTGTGCTAATTCACAGGAATTGATCTTAGTTGAAAACTTACACAATATTTTCATTTTTATACTAATCAGTTTTGTGCATGTGATCATGAACATGTAGTTCCTTTAACCGCACATTGTCTCATGTCATCTTTTAATTATTTTATTATGAACTCATACATTCTCAAATTTCCAACAGAACAGTCAAATGAAATGATTTGAGCCAAAGTTGATATAGCATACTAGGGGTGCAACGATACACTAACCTCACGGTTCGATACGTATCACGGTATTCAGTTCACGATACGATACGTATCACGATACAAGGTTAAAAAGTCTTTCAAGTTTGTCATCATATTTTTTTTAATCTTGACAGGGTTATATAAAATGTTCATATTTTTTTTAATAATAATTAGAATAAAATTTTGTTAACTTGAATTGGATTGTTGGGTAGATCTTTGAGTTTTGACAATATTCTAAACCAATGATGAACATTTACAGGGAACTACGGGGGCTTTTCTTAATAATCTTCGTTTTAAATTGGAATGAAAAGGGAAGACATTCATTCTTTTATTCCTCTTATTTACGTAGAAAACCAGTTGTCATATTTCTCGTGTTAACATGTTTAGTCAACAAGACAGTGAACACACGTGATGAAATATCGTGTATTACCAAAGAATACGTTTAGATCTAAAGGATTTATCATTTGTCTTAACATCTATAACTTATAATCACATTAAGTCCTTCTCCGTCTTCCGTAAATGCGTTATCGGCGACCTCACGTTTTGCGCGGAAGCCATTTTGAAATTGTAACAAAGGAAACAAAACGGACGATTCGGATAATTCTGGACCGATCGAACCGAACCGTGATACCAGTTTAGCGTATCATGAATTGAACCGTGGAAAAATATACCGCGATATACCGTCAAACGGTTTATCGTTGCACCCTTATAGCATACAGGTTAAAGTATATATTCTACGTTATGTGAGAACCCTAAAAGTCCTATATGAATATTAAAGTTTTACTGTCTAATACTTTGTTGAATAAAATGTTATTTTTAACATTGTAGCATTGCTTTTTTGCATGTAAATGAATTTGCAGGCTGCTAATCAAATGATGGGCATAATGAAAGAAATATTTAAAGAATTGTAAGTTCTGTTTACTAGATATATGTGGTTAGAGCGTCTGCTCTAGAGTCGCGGCGTAAGGAGTTGATCCTTACGTCGCGGGTTCGAATCCCACTGTGGGACGTGGAGACCGGTCCTTCGGATGAGACCGTATAAACCGAGGTCCCGTGTCGCAGTGGGTGCTGGCACGAAAAAGATCCCTCACTGCTCAATGGCCGTAAGTGCCGAGTATAGGATAAAATTTGCAGCTCTCCACCGGCAAGTGGTGGCGTCTCCATATGAGTGAAAAATTCTCGAGAGGGACGTTAAACAACATACAAGCAAACAAACAAACTAGATATATGAATATATGTTCCTGAATTTTAAACAAAAACTGAAAATGTTAATGGTAAATAAATTTCTTTTGTCACAGTGAAGCAGTCATAGTTTATTGTACTATCTATACAGATAAATAACTTGTTCATTTAGATTGTCAATCATGTCCATGTTAATTTTCTTGTTTTTAAATACATACTCTAGATATGAATTTCTGTTTTAGCTACCACTGGGTATACTGGAAAAGAGTGAAAATAAAATGAATGACATGGTAGAGATCTTGGAGTATTTACATCCATTTGTACAACTTTCAAGAAGTGAAGAGGAATTGCAAAATGTTAAAGTCCTATCAGTTAGTAATTGTACATGTTTTTAGCAAACCATTGACTATATTTTTATATGCTTTAAACTAAACTTATATTAAGAAAAGTTTCTTTCATTCCTTTAAAACAAAAATTACCAATATAATATTTTTATGTTAATGCATCAATAGAGAAGAAATTTCTGCAATGAGAACAATACCACTTGGTGGGGACATACTTTCTTGTGAAAAGGTAAGAGGAGCCCATATGGTTCGGTTAGATAGTGACACACCTGAGGAACGACTTGAAGGGTGCATGAGTATAATAGAAGACTTTCATGAAAAGATAAACATTATCCAGGTTTGAGTGATTGCTGATGATTACAATAAAAAGACATTCTCCCAACTACATGTGTATATTTCTTAAAAATTCTAAATATTTTTCCTTATATATATTTTTGATGCTGATGGACAAATTTTACAGTGTAGACAGTCCTAGAGAACTATGAAATTTATATCAACTTAAATGCTTAATAAACAGACAAAACGTTACCAAAAATGCGTCAAAAGATTATCATGCAATTGGTGAATTTGTAGATTTAGCCTGTGAATGTCATGTTATTGCAGAAGCATTAACCTTTTTTGGAATGACTGACATCAATAGTCAATGCATAAGAATTCCAAATGGAATTCACTTGACGGATGTGCCTCTAAAAAAGCGAACACTAAAACCCATGATTGAAGAATTAACATAAAATATCCCAAAGCATCGAGAGACTTGAAAATGAAGCTGATGCAACAGATTGTAACGGTCTCCAACAAGATGGTGTATATAACTATGTAACTAATTTTCTTAAATTTTCCCTACTAAGGAAAATCTGTGTGATGGCCAACAGAAGTGGTAATAGAAACAGGGTCATTCGCCATTGGAAATATGCGATGCGTTTGTATCACACAGCTCACAACGTGAAATACAGATTGGAAGTTTTTCTCCTACAGGCTGGTATAATGACACTGTATTCACCTCGAATAAAGCACCAAGTAATTTGGAACATATTCATTACTTTGAGTGGGGGCAAAGGAGGAAATCTTGATGGTGACTATGTCATGGAATTTTGAACAAATATATGCTATTTCACGTGTAAAATTGGTCAATCGAAATCACTGTCCAGAAGTAGTTAAACGTATTGGAAAGATCACGATGTTCTGCCATTATGTAAACCATCACATAGAGAAGCAAATTCAAGGTGCACCAGTTTGAAGGAAACGTGTCTCAAGATTCAACAAGTGATTAACAGAAAGTTGTAAGAAAATTGCAAACTGCAGATGTGTTCATAGTTACACCAAACAGGCACCATGCATCATTCCAGCAAGAGAAGTCTGACATTTTCAATGACTTTAAAGTAAAGGAATTCCACAAGTGGCTAACTGTTAAGAAAAAAGAATATACAGTTTGGGGAAAAAGCTTTTCAATAATTCAGTTTACATAGCTTTTAATGGAATACAGTACAACACATAAGGAAGTGACAGGGATGGCGATTTTGCTTGTTTAAATCCCACAGGGAATGAAAATCACTTTGTTATTAGTGTCAATTAATTACTAGTCTGTCCGCCATAAGCGTGTTTTACTAATTGAATATTATATGACTTTTACTAAATGATTGAGTCCAATACATTGACATTGTATGAGATATCTTTATTAATTTTTCTTTAACACCAAGAACATCTTCAACAATATTTAGGATATTTTGTGCCAGTTCCTCGTCATAGATATGCTCTGTTAAGATGTCTTCAGTTGCAAAAATGTAGTGAACATTTGAAACTATATCCTCAATAACTTTTTTCACTTAAATCAGTTAGTAATCCAATGTTTAGAATAGATGTATTGGTATTAAGATCGGATATCATTTTATTTCTTCATTCCTCTATCTTCCGTTTGATGGACAATTTTTGAGTGTGGGTAATGGTCTGAAATGAACGACTTTTAGATTCGGTCAGTCCCTGTACCATGTCATTATCTTCAATAATGAGACATGATAGGTGTAAATCGGGACATTCTGAGCATGAACATGAAGACTTGCATAAGAAGAAGAAGCATGTATGTAAGTCCTCAACACAGGCGGTATTTTCTGGAGTAAAATGCTGGACTAAGTACTTTCTTCTGCATGATTGTATCGTACAAAATATTTTTCAGTTCTCATATGTTGCAGTTTTGCGGATGTCTGTTGAATGAAGTCCATCTCTTCCTACTCTTTCGCTTTGCTACATGTAGCATGTATGACTGGAATGTATGTGATGCACCCCAGTGTATTAATACTCTAACATGTGGAATATTAACTCCCATTCCAAATTCAGGGGTTGCAATTAAAAAACGTATTGTACTGTCTTGTTTTGGAAATGTTTCGATAATAGTTTTCTTATTTTTTGGTGAGGTAGAATGATGATACATTGCATAATAACAATTTCTTACTGATGGAGTTCCTTTGTACGAATTGTCAAA